CAAACCACTTGAAAACCATTACAATCATTACAGATATGTGTGTGCATAGCAGGGCAACAGGGCTGATGATCGTAGTTGCCTGGTGCCTGGCGCATCATACTGACTCCCAATGTAGCTAGCTCAGTGAGAGTGTTGGACAAGGCTGCAGTAAGGCAGTGATGGAGGGGCGGAGAGGCAGACAGTAAGGTCACTGAGAGAGCACAGCAGCCAATGGATTTTATGCTTCCTTGCTGTTACACCCACTGGATTTATAAACTCACTTTTTAGGAAAGGCAAAGCTTGCAGTGGCTTGAGTGCATTTTGGTCAAAGTGCACCGATGGATGTTGGTATTCTGCCCACGCGCCTCAGCTAATCCGTATTTTCAATCATGGGCCAGGCCCAGGGTATCCTTGCATCATGTCTGCTTACTTCTGTTTTATAGACACATCACACCATCTTTAACACATCCCAGGTCAGGCAAATCCAGGTTTGACTTCGGCAGCACCCTAGGCATTCATGCACTCTCGGCAGCATCAATTTTTAAACAGCACAAATCTGCATTTAGTCACATCTCTCATACTCTGTGCCTTTCCTTGATCCATGTTTGAAATTCATACTGTCAACGTGCAGCCTTTTGGATATTCCAGACATGCAAGATACTTTTTTTTCTTTTTAATTCAATCCATTAAATTGATTCTAAAATGTCATTAATGTATTTCAACCTAGGTGTTAGTATAAATATGCAAGTACAAACTCACAAAATATGGGTTTAAAGAATAAGGACAGTTATCATCACAAATATAACTCAGCATTTTTCTTATCTGTTTTCTTTTCCTTGCTCTATAGCCAAACATAATCCCACACCAAACAGAATCACCAGTAGACAGGGTTATAAAGATTTACTCAACAAATTGATCTTAAGGCCAACAACAGTGTCGAATGATTATTGGGATAAATCAAGAGATGAAACCCCAATAAGAGTCAGATGAACCTCTTCAATATAAGAGGGAATGAAAATCAAAAGGGGAATTCACTAATGTATTTTTAGATTGAAAAACCTAAAAATGAGGCTCTTTGTCCACCAATATGTGACTCTTACCATTACCCATGAGGCTGTGTTTTGTTCCATCTGTATGTTCTGGTTCTGTAATGGAGCAGCAAAGTGGAAATACACAGCCTCAGGATATACCTACTGTTGTTGTATTTATTACCTACACCAGTGAAAGCAAAGCATGCTCTCACCTCTGATTTTTATGTATGATATTATCAGAACAACTACAGATTTGATCACTGTGGTCTAAATAGTGGAATAGATGATGATGCTCTGGATTCTGATGTTCAGTATCAGGTGATTTACACCTAATAGTTTACCTAGTTCTAACTACTCAACCTGTCATTGCAGGCTTTCAGGTCAGCATATATACAACATGCACAGTTTTGATTTGCCTTTTCAGGTCACAACAAAGACTAGAATTACTACTTTGTGGCTGTATACCTTTGCCAACCAGTCACTAAAATGGGAAAGACATGAGATTACTGTGACCTTGACCTTTGACCACCAAAATCTAAACAACTGAGTCCAAGAAGATGTTTGTGTCATTCCTTCAAGGGATTCTTGAGATAGCGTGTTCACGTGAATGGGACAGGTGGGCAACCTAAATACATAATGCCACAGCTATTGCCAGCAAAGAAACATAAAAATACAAAAATTAAACTAATCCTTGAGCTAGTTTAAGCAGCCAACTGGAGTCTGCTGCTACACCCAGGATGGCTGGCATTGTGTTTTCACTGCATTTTTATAATCATGGTGTACTTAACCCCTACTTTTGATTTACTTTGGCTTCCTCATTGTTTGGAGTCCCAAATATTTCTTACCTTAATATACATACTTAATATCTGTGGTGGTCAGTAAACACTTGTTCCAAACCTTTGGGTTGGGAACCCTCTAATGATTCAAAAGATAATGTATATGTTGCTTAAAAAGTAAAATCTAAAAAATCTACCCCTCAAATAAACATGCATGACTGTATAGTTGTGATGAGGGGCAACACATTTGCAGTCTTGATACTAAACATATCAGCAAGACCTTTACTAACACGTTTCTTCATTTATTTTTTACAAGCAGTTACAACATACAGTAAGTCATGGTTTTTTGGTTGTGTATGTATGGCTATCTATCTGATTAACACAAGATACAAGCAACACAACATAAATAAGTAATCATGGCCCAGACTGGAGTTAAAATGGCAAAGTGATGGTACTACCACAGCAAACTGCTCACTTTCTGTAACAGCAAAACTCACACTCATGCTCAACCATCACTCTGTGTATCTTTACTCTCTGACTCAAATAAACATCACAAGTGTAGCACTTCTCATCATGACTTCTCTTTGACATTGAATTGTGAATATGTTGTTCTATCTGTCTGTGTTCGTGCACAACTGTGAACTGGTGGCCTGGCATTTATAATATGAGGGGAGAATCATTTACCACTTGTTGTGGAGGCTGGTGCTAGTCTGCTGCTTTCTCTCTTCTTTTTGTCTAATTCATGTTCGTGTCTGTTGAATTTTATGACACGGACATAAATGTCGCAGCACAAAACTTGAACTGGTGTGATTGTCATCCAGTACAAATGTTATTTTGTTTTATTTTACAAATTGGTTATACTATTTTCTTATATTTATCATGTGAAAAAGCTACATAGAAAACACTTATGTAGTGATCTTAAAGAATTCTGTTAATGAGCCATGTCAGCATTTTATCTGCAAACAGCGTGAGCTGCAGATTGATAGACATTTCATAGACAAATATTTCTTTTACTGCCAACATATCTCATACAGACTAAAACCAACTTACATTAACATTAACATTAATAACAAGTATTGCGCATGTATTCAAAGCCTGATATATGATTTTAGAGCTCCATCATTCTCTAAAAGCTATTGAAAACAGCTCACTAAGCCACACGGTCACTCTGGTATACATGCTTCTTCATATCACACTATATTGTATTTTGTCTCAATTCTACAACCGTACATTGTACTGTTGTCCCAGATCTTTACTAGATAACCAAATATGTGTTGTTGTTTTTTTGATCATGGCAGGTGGATACCAAAATCTACTTCTTTCCAACATTTTTTGATATATCATGATTCTCTGAAGACCTTGCCAAAGGAGTACAGCTCAAAATTATCCAGCTGGCTAACACTGGCATATTTATATGACCATATGTACTGTAATAATACATATATAAGTATGTTTGTTTTTCAAGTGAAGCGCAGGCTGTGAAAACAAAGGTCCCTCCTGAGGCTATAGAGTAGGAGTAGATTCTCATAGTTTACAAATTTCCCTATGGGGAAATTAAACTGTATAAGATTGGTAAGGTTCAGTGTGTCCTGGACAAGGGGCTGTAACTACTGATGATTTACATATTAATAAAGTCTTTCACTCAGCACATATAAATACACAAATTAAAAAAAAAAGAACAATTCCAATATTACAGTTAAAACACTTGTCAAGTTTGGAGCTGATCCTGGATCTTTGAATTAAAGATGAAGCATCCACCCACCCGTCACCCTTATTCTTACTTTCCTTCCTCCGCACTATTTCAATGTGAAACAGCTGTCTGTTTTCTTGACGTTCCTCTTTTCATAACGCCGTTTTAACAGCTCTTACTTTTCATGCATGCAGATTCTATTTACACATACATACATATTTGCATTCAAAGACACCACAATCATTTCCTCTGAATTTCCAAGAGACCAGCTGGTTCCCAAGCAGCATCTCTCACACAGCCTTGACTCTGCTCCCATTGAAACTGCAGCACTGCAGGACACACACTCACACACAGCATCTTTCGTTTCAAACAACATTCCATGATAAGAAATGTGGGTAAAAATCTGATGTCTGCATCAATAGGCCACTTCTGCCCAACATCCAAGAGTCACATGGGATCAAACTCACATCAAAGCTTGGCCGATTTCAGAGCTGAGCAACAATTGCGCAACAATTAAAGCCACATGGATATGCAATCATATCATCAAATGTATATATCTCTCTCCTTCTTTGTCACAGAAATAGAAAAGCCATATTTTGATGTCTGTCATGACAATACACAAACCCCTCCAAATCCTAACATGCAGCTACCTGCCATACAATAGCTAAGCAAGTCATTTCCACTCATTTGAATGCAGTATGTACATTTAGTTGCTCTCATTCACTAAGCTGCAAATCATTATCTGGATCATAGGAAGCTGTCATAACCAGCAGTAATGCAACAGCAATACATAGCAAAATTCCACAGTGTTTTCAGTGCAGTGTTTAATGAGGCATTATACACGAATGTACTTTAGTTGTATTGATTCAGCCACTTTATATCTATTCACAAATAGTCAGGCTCATTCATCCAGAATGAGCTTCTTTTTTTCCTTTTTCATATTAGTCCTTGATTATTGTTCCTATTTTTCCTTCACAGATGTTTGTTCATTGTGGAGGGATCATTTTAACTGCTTGAAGGAAAGGGACATGTAATCCAAAAACATCATATTAAATATAAAAATGAAATTACACATCAGATAATTTTTGGAACAAGTGATAGACTTAAAAACCTAATTAGAAATTCCTACTTTAAAATGATATGTCTCTGTAGAGATGAAGATCTAGCAGTGGTGTCCAATCATACAGGCTAATTTAATGTTCAGGTTAACTGATAAAAGAAGAGAAAGAAGTCTAAACAAGCATGGAGGTTTTTCATCACTTCAAGTAAACAGCTGAATACTGTATAATTAAAGCTTATGTCATGTTATTCTTTGTAGAAAAATTGGTAAATGGCCTGCAAAGTTCTAGCAAGAGTGCTTGACAGTGTCTTCATTGCTGCTATACAAGCACGATGCTGATGACATAAAGTGCTTGTGCGTAATAGACGTTGATGCCCTTATTCCCTTTATGAGTGGGTGTGCTTAAAATATAATTCGCACAGGTCTTGATGGGAGACAAAAAAAGAAGGAAAAGGACCTTGTACCTCTTCAGCATCGATGTCCTCCTCGCTTTCATTGGGTTCTGGTGCCTTCACGAACCACCACTGGATCTCCAAATACACCGATGCAGCTTCGCTCTGGAAAGCACACGCCATTTCAATGTTTTGTCCCTCTTTAACCGTCATGTTGGAGGGCAGATCCGTGAAGTGACCTGCAGATCAGAGGTGGTTTGGGAAGGGGGCGGTGGTGGTCATATGAGAGCATTTTGTGTGATTTCCACACGAAAATAAATACCTATGAATTATCACTCTAATTGTCGGTGTGTGGGGTGTGTGGCTGCGGTCGTGACCACAGCGTGTAACACTTGAGACCTCGATTAAACAAACTTGAATGTATCAGAATGTGGTCAAACCGAAGAAAGCTTAAAGGGAAAACACACAAGAAATAATAATTAAAAAAATAGTTTGACGGATGCTAAAAAAGTAACATAACCCTAAGGAGAGTGCCGGCGATAATATAAAAAAATGCGGGAGGATATTAATGTATGCAAACTTTCATAGCAAACTATAATTTCTATTCTGTATTACAGACTACAACCCTTTCAGGCTTTTTATGGGTTCGGGGGCCTTTGCTGGCGATATGGGAATGCAGCTTTAAGGAAGAGGAAGAGCTGAGGGGCAGTTTGAAAGTGTGATCTCGGTCAGATGAAGCCGGACAACCAGGCGCTCGACCGTGGCTTTCAGGACCATGGACAGCGGCATGCAGCGCTGTTTGTGGTGCTGAATCCACCAACTGATTCCTGCCTGTTCATGCAAAGCTACTATTAACATAAGTTTATTTTGTGACCACAGCCTATGTTCTAGTATTAAAGAAAATGCTCTCTGATCCACATACTCTCCCCCACATCATGTGAAAAATACTTGATTTCAAACAATCACCAGTTGCATTTTTTTCCCTCATCACCAAAAACGCGACCTTCTTCAATTTAGTCGTGAGCTTGATGCTCCCTTTCCCTGCGTATCACAATCCATCCAATCTCACCTAAAACATTCCCCGTTTCTCTCAAGATACCCTCCTTTGCTTTTCCAGAAATGCTGCGCACTTTTAACACTTTCACCGATGAGCAGCTTCCACCATGCAGGGCAGCGAGATCTGACATGACAAACTGAAAAAAAGTGTATTTCTTACCTTCAAAGGAGAATCCGAGTTGCACACAAAATCCAGCTAAAAAAACAATTCCAACAATATCATGAAAGGTCCACATCATTCCAATATAGAGGGCGAGGTTTTTTGCATTTGCCGAGGGGTGAAAGGACGAAGCTTTCCAAAAAATAGCCGAACACCAGCAAAATCAAACGATTGCTGAGCGGGTGTGTTTAAACGGAAATCGTCGAAGGTAGAACATGCTGCAAAACTGTCGTTGCTTAAGTTTGTACTCTCTTCTCTCCTGACGAGATTGTCGACTGCTTGGCTGTAGCGAAGTGTGTAAAATAGCCAGGCTGCGGTCTTCGTCTGCGCTATCGGTGAGACGTCAGTCTAGTGGCTCACTGTGGCATCCACACACTCCACACCTCTGCAAAATGTAGTCCTCATCCGGTCTCTACTGTCACCTTGACCGCTTGATTTAAAAAAAAAAAGCCTCGCAGTTGTTTATATGTTTTTTTTTTAAATTCTGGATAATAAGTGGAGTGGAGTTTGCTGGTTGTTACTTGTGTTGTACTTTTTTAAAATGACGGTTTGGATGCCCTCCACCAAAGCTACTAAACAAGCACAATTGAATTCTTCCCCTTTCAAAGTCATAAAAGTCCAGAATGTAAAGATGTGTGTGTACTGTATGTGTGTGTGTTTACTGAGGGTGTGTGAGTGGCTATGTAGCCAGAAGATGCATCTAGAGCCAGTATAAGAGGCTATAAAATAACCCTGGCATTAGATGTGGTCAGACACGAAGGGGAGTGTGGTTGAACATGCGTGCAGAGTACGCGCAACAACTTTTGGATAATTAAGACAGAACAGAGTGAGAACACTTTACATTTATCGGCACAATTTACGCATTGCCTCATATTTGTTCCCAACTGACCAATCAGGGATCCTCATTTTTGTAAAAGTACAAGTCTATCTTATGCTCATATTTAAATACAGTCCTGGTTCTATGTAAAATACAGTCTGAAGTTCAGCTGAAGATCACATGTAGTTTCAACAGTTTGATTTAGAAAATCTAGCTTTTATTGTCCAGTTTTGTTGTAAAAAGATGATAACTTTGAAAAATATCCACTTGATTTGTTTGAAGCTTTATATTGCTTTGGCTGAACCTATTATCGACCAAGATGTATGGAACAGTAACTTTAAATAATAACAAAAGCATTAAATATTAGCATGCCATGACTGTTTTAAGATTGACTTGAAAGATAGTATGAACATATCCTTTAATTCTCTCAGTTAGGAATTTGACTTTAAGGCTAAATTAAGGAAGAAAAATGGAACGTTTTGAAGTCAGATAAAGCAGAAGAAATTGGTTCATTTTCAGCACCAGAGATGGTTTGAAGCACCTGTCTGTCGTGCTGAAATGTTCCAAACTAGCTTAATTTAACAATATTTCATGGAAACATAAACTGTACAGTGGCCCTGAGATGCTAAACATGCAATGCAATTTCTGAAAGCTCATACCATTTCATAAATGCACACAAGACATTTGGCAAAACACATTTCAGAAAACAACAAAATTTCAGATTACTTTTTCATTTCAGTGAATGAAATAACTAAGATGTGAATCTTACAATGCCAATGCTTGAACCCTGACAACAGTTTGAAAGAAGGAGGGCTCACAAGAAAGAGTAGCTTCCCTCCAACAAGAGACAAAATGAGATGTTAGCAGAGTTGCTCAGACCTGGTTAGCTGTTTAGAAACAAAGCCATGTGGGTGACTAAAGCAACAATATGGACTGTGTGTTAACAGGGACACCATGTTGCAAATGATTGGCGAACTGAATCCATGCTGAATCCTCATCTGGGACACATTATAGAATTATTAGACATGCCCATGTTATTCTGTTATTTTTTTTTCTGCCACTCAGTCCCAGAATCAGCAGCACTAACATGGAGTAACCAGTACAGGTGGACAGCAAGAAACAGACAGATGAGCTATCATTTTATAAAAGAGCACTTCAAAAATGTGGTTTATGTAGCCCAAAGAAAGAAAGAATTTGAGGTCTACATGCCAAATTTACAAAAAAAAAAAAAAAATTTAAGTGGAGGCTGGCCAACAAAAGTAGTACCCTACATTGTCTGCTGTATTTGTAAAATTTAAGTGTCTGTTGTTTGTAAACTTCTGCAAACCCCAGCATGTTTTTCTTCCTTTCCTTCTCAAATTTAAAATTAATATTTGCTTGCCAATATATATATATATACTTGTCTGCTCACTCTGTTCTTCACCACATTGTGTGATGCGCTCACCATAGTTTTTGTGCTTCCCCCCTCATAGTGTCACAGTCCTAGTTCAGGTTTGACTCTATCCCATGTTTCCTCTGGTTTGTTCCTCTGGACATTTCTAGAAACTGCCCTTCCCCTCCAGTTTCCCGTTGTCTCCCGGTTTTCCGTTCAGTTCCTCCAGGATTGGTTTCACACAGGAAATTAATTGTGGTCTTCCATGTCAAACTTCTGTGTTTTTTCAAACCACCTGTCCACCATGATGTTTTGTTCACCTTGACCTTCTCCTTAGGCAAACTCTGTTGCTCTATAATAACAACAGCTCTTTCCTCTGCTCCCTTCATGGCTGCTGTAACTGCTAGTGGGTTGCAGAAAGAGTAGTCATTTTGACTGAGTAGCCACACAAAAAAACCCAACTTTTTTATCCTATCACTGTATAGAAGGCCTCAAACCTGTTGACCTTCACGCTCCAAAATTTCCAGTAAGTATAAGTGAATCCCACAGTTTAGCTGGTTCCCTGCCAGGATTCATTTTGTCAGCCTAAGCACACTCCACAAGGCTCGCTGGGTGCAGCAGAGTGCATCTGAAAATAATTAAACACTTTTTCCAGGGTGATGATGCAAGCACTAATTAACTGCCTTTGATGTTCATTAATGTGACTGCCACAATAATCATGCTTTCTACCAAACTGTCTCATCGTTTGTTATCTTGCTTCTCAAGGCTTGTGGAGATCAACTAGCATACTGCATCAATACGTCCAAAGTCCGAAGTAACTAGTGTAGCAAAAGTATAGTACAGTGAGCAATACTTATGAAAGTACTGCAGTCGAGGAAAATTATGTTGTATATATTGTATAGTAGTAGTAGTATATAAGTAGTTCATCAGTACCTGATGAAGTAAGTAAGTTTAAATTTTAAACTTACTGTTCTATTCTTTTTTTTCTCAAGGTGGATAGTTCTCAGCTCTTCTGACCACTGAGCAAAGTATCCCGTATCCCATGGTCCCTGTGGATGCAGGTCAGAGGCCAAGGTCAGTTACATTAAAAACACAACTGAAACACACAAGATATTACTTGTGGTTAGCTTTATTTTAGTCAGTTTACTGTATGTGTAACATCAGACTGTAGAATAACATGTCCATCACTCTACAGGATGTCACCTACCAGTCTAAGGGGATATTTTGATGCCTGGTTTTACAGAAGCCACAAAATCCATATTTGCAAAGGAAGAGGCCAAAGTCAAAATAATGTAAGACCCGCAAATGACAAAAAAGATGGGTGAGATTAACATGCTACCACCTGTTTCAAATAAATATTGCACATAGCATACTTTAATTTTAATTATTGCCTTAGTGGAACAACATGTCATAATATAGTCTACAAGCTCCTCTTTCCATTGCAGACCCTGTATTTGTGTCATATGTACACTCACTGCGTGGCTGCATCACAGTGTTGCGTCATTTAACAAACATTGTTTACCACCCCTATTGGCATCCAGTACATTAGCCATGATCTGTGGAGCAAATGTGTGTTTACAGCTGTTGGGGAGTTTTACTGTGTGTGGAAAAAAAATTGTATAAAAGCCTTTGGGGTTCTAAAAGGAGTTATGCAGAGTCTGGTGAACAGTTTCAACACTGACTGAAGTGGTGTCAAGTGATGTCACTAAAGTGTTTCAGCGTCACTAAAGACTAAAAAAGAGCAACTTCACAGTGCAGAGCTTTCATTTGTGCCATTCAACATCAGAGCAAAATTTAGCAGTCAGCAGTGGTATTAAGCCCTTTAGGAATAGATTAAAATCAAGGACCGTGACGTGGCCCCGCATGGCGCAGCCGGGGCCCCACCCTGGAGCCAGGCCCAGGGTTGGGGCTCGAATGCGAGCGCCTGGTGGGCGGGCCTCCCCTCACGAGGCTCAGCCAGGCTTAGTCTGAACGAGCGACGTGGGGACATCCTCCCGTGAGCCCACCACCTGCAGGAGCATCCGTAAGGCGC